AATGGGGACACTGGGGTGGCCCTGGGGGGCTGATGGGGACACTGGGACGTGAGGGGGCATCGGGAATGGGGTAATGGGGACACTGGGAATGGGGTTAATAGGGACACTGGGACATGAGGGGGACACTGGGAATGGGGTTAATGGGGACACTGGGATGTGAGTGGGACACTGGGAATGGGGCTAATGGGGACACTGGGGGGACACTGAGGACAGTGGGAGTGGGGGGCAGTGGAGCATAATGGGGACACTGGGGGATAATGGATGAAAAATGTGGGTTCCTTCAGAGAAGAATGACAGCCCAGTATGAGGCATATGCAGGAAACAAAAAAGAACTGCAAAGGAGGTTAAATGCTTTTAGAAGGTGTGAGGCTTTTAAAGGGACAGTAGGCTGGGGGACACTGGGGGAGCTGCAGGGACCCTGGGGGGGACACAGGGAGCGGCCGATGGAGACGTAACGGGGATACGGGATGGGGAGAGATGAGGGATAGTAGGGACACTGCGAGTAGGGGCGCTAGGACATAATGGGGGTACTGGGAGTGAGGGGTAGGGGGGCCACGCAGGAGGACACTAGGACTGGGGACAGTAGAGATGAGGGACACTGGAGGGTGCAATAGGGACTCTGGGGGGGATCATGGGAACAGGGGAACTGGGACATAATACAGGGACATAATGGGGACACTGGGGCTGGGGAAATCTGGGACTGGGGAATATTGGGGAAAGTGAGACGGGGGATAGCGGGAGCACTAGGGCTGCAGGGGGAATCCCCTCAACCCCCCATGGAGCTCCCACCACACTCCTCATCCATCCTTTTTATTTCTGCAGCAAACACCAACCTCCAGCCTGGGGGCAGGGGCTCCCGAAGGCCCTGCCTCAGTTTCCTGGGGGCTGTGCTTCAGCCTCCCCTTTCTACCCTCACACCACCCCAACCTCCCCAAGAGGTTCCCCTTCCACCAGCCTCCTCCAGCCCAACCTCTGCAGATCCAGGCTCTCGTACCTCCCTTTCACCACCAGCTCAGCCACGGCCCGCCCGGCAGCAGGGGCGTGTTGCAGCCCGTGACCACTAAAACCAGCAGCTAAGAAGAGATTTTCCAGTTTGGGGTGAGGCCCCAGCACCCCGTTACGATCGAAGGTGTTGTAGTCATAATAACCTGCCCAGGATCCCCGGGGACGGAGGGACTCGAACGCCGGGACCCTCCGAGCCAAGAGCGGCCAGACCCGCTCCTGGAAAAACACATCATCCACGGAGAGATCGCTGGGATCTGGCTCTTCCTCCTGGGAAATAATCAAATGGGGGGTGTTATTTAAAAAAAATAATCGATAAAGGAGGGGAAGAAGTGAAGGGACCCTTCCCGGGGCTCACCTCGGGGGGGCTCATGCCACCCAGGTAGTTGCCAGCGATGCCGTCACGGCGGAAATAAGCGCCGGTGGTGTCGATGAGGAAGGGGCAGGAGAGGCCGGGGCCGTCGGGGCAGTGCCAGGAGAAGACGTATCTGTGGGGCACCCCCCAAAAATAGAGGGCTGACCCTCCCCCCTTCCCAAAGGTCGGGAGGTCTAGGGGCTGGAGAAGGAGGGGTTCTCACAAAAAAAAAAACCGCTAAA